GCCCCTCAGCCCCTCGATTCGGCTTGGCGGCGCATTGCGCGATCCATGACGCGTGTCATTGGCCAACGCGCAGGGAGGGACCATTATGTCATCTCGGTGCTCGCTGTCGCAACACCTCAACCTCGCCGACCACCTGGTGGGGGTGACTTTTGCTGAGGTTGGGAGTGAGCGTCGAGTTCCCAATGAAAGCCATAGATCGTACCAGAGGGTGAGGAGAAGGAGGCTGGTGCTGATACGGATAGCTGAGGTAAGACGAGAGTTGGGTCCAGGTGTGTCTGCTTTGGGGTGGAGATCTGGCTGAGAACCTTGATGGTTCTTGATTCCATGTTTGCCTTCTCTTCTGCCAGTCTCCCGGTTCAGGTTTAGCAATCATCATGGGTCAGTCATCAGCCAGAGGCCGAAACGAAATAAATGTCTGGCAGCCGGCACTCTCCGTAGATTGCCGACCTCATCCCTCCGCCTTGCTGTCTCTCTCGACACTGTCTCAGAACAACTGGGAATACTCATTATTGCTACTCGTTATCCTACAGGATATTTCATGAGGTACCAACATCAAGGCGGCCGTAAACAAGAGGGACCATTAAGGAGAAAGACAGAAAACGGGTTCAGGCGAGCAGATCCAAGCCCGACTTACAATACCTCCCTCAAAGCTTCACCCTCCCTCCCTCCAACTCCTGCCAATCCCTCTCCCAAACCTCACATACCCATCCCCTCAACCAGTAAATCTCATCCACGCCCGTCTTCCCCGGCCTCACGCCCTCGTCCCTCAGTCCCACCTTCTGCTGCTTATTCGTGCCCGTCGCCTGGATCGTCTCCCCTTCACAACCCTCAAAAACAGCGGCAGCGCATATTTGGGCAGCCCCTTCGCATGCTTCGCCAAATCCCTCATCACCTCCCCACCCGGCCCTGCCCCCATCCACCCCTTAAATACCACCGCCGCGCACCCGCCCGCCCCTCATGCAACGGCACCTCCACCCCATACACATTCGCCTCCGCCACGGCCGGATGCATGCCCACCACCAGCGCCACCTCCGCAGTCGACACATTCTCGCTCTTCCACCTAAACGTATCCCCAATCCGATCATTAAAAAACACCCTGTTCTCCTCATCCCACCTCACCACATCCCCGTCCTAAACCACATCCCCCGCCTGAAAACCCCCTCATAATCTTCTTCCCCGTCGCCTCCTTATCTCCATAATACCCCTGAAACCTGCCCTCCACATCCCCCGGCGGCAGCGCGAACAACAACTCCCCCGGCTCGCCGCGGGCGGCGCGCGTGCAGAACCCCGTTTTGGGGTCGCGGTGCGGGAGTTCGGTGTCGTGGTCGACCGTCACGATGGCGATTGTCCGGCCGAGGATGAGGTTGTAGAGGGATCCGGCACGGCCGATCGCGCCCATGGAGTAATCGTTGCGGGACAGATTCCAGGTTGCGAAAGACCCCTCGGTGGCGCCGTAGAACTCGGCGATCGTCTCGATGCCAAACCGCTGTTTAAACTTATTCCACACGTCCGGGCGGAGGCCGTTGCCGAAGGCAATGCGCACGGAGTGGGCTGTGTCGAGGGACGCGCCGGTGGCGGGATCGGTGCGGGAGGGCGCGGAGAGGAGGTAGCGGCAGGTCTCGCCGACGTATTGGATAATGTGGGCATTGTGGTGGCGCACGTCGTCCCAGAAGCGCGAGGTAGAGAATTTGCGCGACATGGCGAAGGTGCCGCCGGCGGAGAGGGTGTGCGAAAAGCCCATGAGCATGGCGGTGCTGTGGTAGAGTGGCATGGCCTGGGGGGGAAGTGGTCAGGGGTGTTTTCGTGAGTTATGGGAGGGGGTTTAGAGTTGGACTTACAGTGTAGAAAGTATCGTTCTTAGTCGTCCCAACCCAGCGCGAGGTAAACCCGCCCACCACGGCAATCTTGTCCCATGACACGATCGCCGCCTTGGGCAGACCTGTCGTCCCGCTCGTGTAGATAAGCAGACCCATCGAGTTGCCGGTAATATCATTCCGGACATCATCCGGCGGGCGGATCGCATCATGCGAGAGCATCTGCAGCTCAAGCTCGGGCGTGACCACCTCGAACTTAACATGGCTCAGCTCGGCGCGAACATCCTCCCCGACGTTGCTAACAATAACGGGATCGATCAGCACCAGTCTGGTCTTGGCCTTCTTGACGCAGTGCGCCAGGGGCTGCGCGGTGAGATTGTAGTTAATGAGCGCCGGCACCGCGCCGAGCGCCCAGAGAGCAAGCACCAGGAACAAAAAGGTGTCGGTGTTCTGGAAGTCGAGGGCAACCAGCTCGCCCTTCTTGACGCCGCGGCGCTCCTGGAGCCAGTTGGCGTAGCGCAGGACTGTGTCGTACGCCTGGGCATAGGTGTAGACTTTGTCCTCGAAACGTAGGAACACGCGGTTCGCGGACGACTTGCAGGTGGCCAGGTCCTCGAGGCGGTAGAAGAAGTTGAGGCGGCCGCGGTTTGTCCACCAGAGGACGTGTGCCATGGTGGGGACGATGGAAGCCACCAGGCTGAGGTCGTAGGACAGCAAGGTGCGGCCATTGATGTAGGCGGCCGCCGCGGCCACGGCCGGGACGGCGAGCGGGAGAGGGACTATGGCGGTTTGTTAGTCGGAGGATGCTGTTGTCGGCCACGCCCGTCCAGACGGTGACTTACGAGAGGCCATCGTCATGTGGTCAGGGAATGGCTGGGCGTCTGGGCGTCTGGGGCATCTAAATGGCACGGAGACGGTATTCGGTGCACCCGGTCAACCCGTTGATAATGATGGGAATTGTGAAAGATGGCGGGGTATGGGGGATGGTGTAACCTTGAACTTCTGAAGTGAGAAATGCCAGACCAGTGCGGTTTCTGGAAGGTCGAAGTGCCACTTGCCACTGTGCCCAAACAAGAAAGGAAGTGTTGCAACCTCTGCTTGAATGTCGGTTCCAAGTCGATATCCTTGCCATATCCTTTGGCACATGTCGATTCAACAACCACCAGATAATGGCGCTCCAGACTCGAATCCCGCCCTCCCAGAAGACACGGTGACAGCCAGCAATGGACCGAGTTCGAAAAAGCAGCCACCGCCCGAAAAGCCGTCCGACATCCGGCGCCGCTCCCATGTCATCCTCTCCTTTTGGCTGATTGTGCTGTGTCTGGGGTTGCCTATCTGGTGGAGGACGACGAGCATCTACCGCGCCGACCTACCCCTACAGGAAATGCTGGACTGGTCCGATGGCAAGGTACGAATTACTGTCCGCTGTGCCCTCAATAAGTTGTGGAAATGCCGACTTACCTCCACAGGCCTGTCGCCCCGTCTTCCCCTTACACATCTCCGTCCAGGCGAATGCGCTGCAGGAACAGGAGGCCCAGAACCTCCTTCGCCTCACCCAACATGCTCTCGACGACCTCAATGATTTTTCGGGACATCACTTGCGTCTGCAACTCTCCCCGCCGTCTACGACCGAGACCTACGACCGCGACAGCGTGCTGACCATCCGTCTGACCCCTGGCGAGTCGACGACCTCAACACTCGACCCGCACGAACCCATTATCGACATCACATACCCTCCCAATGCTATTCCCGCGCCCTCTTCGTCCTCCTCGTCGCTCGCGACATACGTTGCTAACGTCTTGCGATCCACCTTTGCCGAGGAGCAGGCCACCATCTCGTACCTGCTGTCGACCAACTCGATTCCCTCCGAGCACCGACCGCAAGGACTGGCACCCGATGTTGCCGAGTCGCTTTCCAAGCGCACTACGCGATCGTTGAAATATGCGCCTACGTATCACCTCACCTTCTCCCTGTTTACAGGCGGGCCGCTGCCGAGCAGCTGGGATATTGAGGGCGCCATTAAGGAGTACATGCAGCCCGTACTCGACGTCCTCTCACCAATCCACAACTTCACCATCGACACCCAGGTGCAGCTCTACGCGACGCCGGGCGTCCAAAACGAAGTCCTCAGCAAAGAAGATCTCTCCTCCTTCATCAACGCCGCCGAGTGGCCCCTCTCGCCCTCCATCGGCGGCGCCCCCACCATCAACTTCGTCGTCTTCGTCGGCAACCAAACCATTGCCTCCTCAGAGGACTCTTCCTCATCCCACTCCTGGCTCATCCCCCAATGGGGCACAGTCTACCTCCTCCCGCTCCCCACACCGCCCACCTCTCCTCCTCAACCCTTAAACCCCCCTCCTAACCTTTACCTCCCACCTCCTCTCCCTCACAGGCACCCCCTCAGGCTCTCTTCCGCTCCGCCTCTCCACCCTCTCCCGCATCCGCTCCGCCGACCTTCTGCTCCGCGCCTCCTCCACCCTCGGCTCCCTCGCCCGCCTGGCTCTCGCCCTCCCGTCCATCTCCATCCCCGCTCCGTCGCGGACGGCGTCGCCAGCAGCATGGCACATTTACGGTTTGCGTGCGACACGCTTGGCACGCCGGAAGGGTTGGAGCATGCAAGGATTGCGGAGGCTGAGGCGGAGAGGGCGTTCTTTGAGAAGAGCATGGTGGGGCAGCTGTATTTTCCGGATGAACATAAAGTCGCGGTGTATTTGCCGCTGTTGGGGCCCGTAGCGGTGCCGTTGCTGATGGGATTGGTTAAGGAGGTGAAGGGGTGGGTTGGGAGGACGAGGGAGAGGAGAGAGAGGGGGTGGGAAAGAAGGGTGTTTAGGGTGGAGGGGGTTGGGAAGGAGAGGTGGTGGTAGTGGTGGTGGTGGTGGTGGTGGTGGTGGTGGTGGTGTTTTTGATAGCGCTTTACACAATGTCCATACTAATACAATCTTTTTTTTTTTTTATCATTTCATCCCTCGCCGGCCTTTGCAGATTCTTTCCTTGCAACGACAGGTTGCATCGCCGACTCCCAAGCAGCATCTCGGCCACAGACAGAACCCTGACCCCTGACTCACGTTTTACCCACAACCCCCAACCCCATCGCTTGCATAATAAGCCCGCCTCCATCTCTCCACAGCATCCATACATTCCAATGATAGACTGAATTTACTACACTGGGTCTCCATCAAATTAGCTGCGGGTTTAGCTCAGTTGGGAGAGCGTCAGACTGAAGTCAAAACTTCGGGATTAGTCAATCTGAAGGTCGTGTGTTCGATCCACACAAACCGCACAGCAACATTTCAACATATGATTCAGAGATGGGTTGTTTGGTTTTTGCATTTTGCGCCTAAAAGTTTTGTCGGCTCAGAAGGAGCCAGAACTAGTAGCTCTAAGGAAAAAAAACGCCCCCCGTTGAACAACGACGAAGACAAGAACCTGTCGTTGTTGCCGGGACGCCGAGAACGTGTTTCTGGTACGGAGGTCCACGTCAAAAGTTCTGTCCAAGCGCTAACGACACCACCCTCGTTATGGCAATACTACTATATTCACCATTATCACGCATTACCCGCTGAACAACCTTTACTCTTCATCATCCCCTCATCACTAATGGCTCCTAATACTGATATTGCAACTCGCGCACTTGTTGTCACGTTGACATCTCCATTAGGTGGGAAAACATCTGCTCAGACTTCAAAATAAACTAGGATTTCTGTACGGCAAGGCAACCGCATCTATGCTCGCGCTCTCGAATGTGGATTTGAGTCAAATCACTGGCTCTTCATCTTGAGGGACGAATGGCTAGAGGATACCCCTCGCTCTGGTCGTTCATCTAAGTAAAGCCCTGAAGTCGCCGAAAAAATTGTCAATCAGGTGCGCCATGACCGATATGGTCGTGAGAAGACTGCGGTTGATCTCATGGGCACGCTCAGCCTCGAAGGCATCAACATCTCAGCAACAACAGTCCTCCGGATCCTCAAACTTGCGGGGTTCAAGAAGACCAAGCCGACGAGGAAGCTTGGGCTGACATAGAAGATGGGGGCTGAACGCCTCCAATGGTGTATAGCTCATTAACACTAGGTAGGCTCTTGAGGACTGGAAACGAGTTATCTGGTCTGATGAAACTTCTATTGTTCTTCTTCATTTCTGTGACTGTTATTGAATCTAGAGGACAACGGAGGAGAGATTCGTTCGGAGCGCTATTCGGGAGCGTTGGAAAGAATATTCTGAGTTCATGTTCCGGGGTTGTTTCTCTTACGACAAGAAAGGCCCTTGCCATTGTTGGCTTCCTGAAACAAAGCAAGAGAAGGAACAAGCGAGAAAGTATCGAAAAGCTAAACGAATAGCTAGAACCCGTTTTACATGATGCTTGGGAGCTCGAATCAAAATTGGGGAGGCTATCTTTGGTCACCTCGTTCTGGTCGGAAACCAGTGGAGATGAAGTAAGAAGAATGGAAAACTGGCACGAGGAGGAAAATGAGGTATTGATTGGTATCGTTACCAGAAGAAGATCCTTCTTCCCAAGCTCTTTCCCTTTGCGAGAGAATGTGAGGGGGCCTGCACTAGTACGATAGTCCAAGAAGACAAGACCCCCCAGCACATGCACACCAATTACAAGCCAGCCTCTATGATCTTCATCAGGTCAGACGACTAACTACTTTGGCCAGGAAACTCACCAGATCTTAATCCAATTGAGCCCTGATATGGATGAAGAGACATACAACGAAGAAAGGAGCACCAAAAAACCGTTAGGAGGCAATCAAGGTGTGGAAGCAGTGTTGGGAGAGCTTGTCGCAGGAGCAAATCTAGACATGAATTAAAAGTGTAAGGGGTTGAGCCCCGTTGACGGCCTCGGAGAATCTCGCCTGATAACGTCGTTGCCTTAGAGACTCTCGGCCATTACCCAGCATCCGGGTTCATCAGCGCTTTGGTCTATCAGTGCCCGATGGGTCCACCACCATGCGACCTCTCAGTCAGAGCTTATAATGTTCCATTATGGAATCCAGGACCCATCCCTATGACGCTTTCCTAATGCAGTGGCACACAGTCTACTTCTGGCAAGGGACATCTGGTAGGAACTGTTCCTTCCTTTCCTTTCTCTCTTCTTTTCCCCAAGTTTAGTGTATTCGTAGAGTCGTCATCAGCTAGTTGCAATATACTTGTTGGGACAGTTAACGTGTTTAATAAGCGAGAGGAACAGATAAGCGAGCAGGACACCTTTCCACGCGATGCGACACCTCTACGCTCAACACTGATCTTTTCAACAACCCAATATGCCTCCCACTTTAATAAAGCTAGAGTTGTTCTGGCCCTCGAAGCCCTTGAAAACAACGAAGGTTTAAGCCTCCGAGTTGCAGCTAAGCTCTATAATTTACTGGTCTCAACTCTCTCTTACCGACGTACTGGCCGGCCTGCACGGCGCGATATTTCAGCCAACTCACGCAATCTAACGGATCTGGAAGAGCAGACAATAATCCAGTAACTAGTTCTAAATACAAGGGAAACCGTGCCATTTGGCCGGATAAAAACCCTCGTCGACATTGAGCTTTTCGACTCTCATTCTAGGATTGCAAGCCGACAAACCAAGTCAACAAAATCAACTAAGTTTGGGAACAGTCTGAACATGCATTAACTCCCCTTCAACTCCAGCCTTTCCCGACTATCAGCGGCAAGCTCCCTACCTGCTGCCTCAAGAAACTAGTGATTCAGGTAGTTTTTGGCTAATTAGCCAGACACTCGCGCCCACACACATCCGTTTTCAAAACCGGCAACCCCAGGAAGTCAAGGTATCGTTCTATGTCGCCCTCCGTCACGCCACTGTCAGCGAGGTCCGCGGGCAGTCCGGCGCGAGCCCAAACATCCCTGACATTGTCGGTACGGAATCTTGCCATGCCCTCGTACGCCTCCCACCGGGTCATCTGCACCATGATTTTTTCCTCCATCACCGGCAGCAGCGGGCCCATGCGCATCGGCTGCTTGTCGTTGGCTTCAATCAGGCGCGCCACCCACTCGCTGTACGGCAGCTGCTTCAGGCACCTCCCGGAGACCCTCTGGAGCGCCTCGCGGAAGCGGGGTAGCGACATGTCCTCAACGTTCTCGTGGTCCGGTAGCACGTGGTACGTGCGGTTCAAATTCGCGGGTGAGAAACTGGCGAGGAGCATCGTGGACACAACATAGTTGATGGTCGTGAGGCGAGCACGTCGGCGACGAACCGGGAGACATAATCATCCGAATTGCCGATCCCCGTCGTACGGTCGCACATGACGAAACCCAGTCGGTGGACGGTTGTGGGAACACCCTTGGCCATAGCAGCGCGCATCATAACTTCGACCACCCATTTACTCGTCCCATAGCCGGTTTCGAACGGCATGAGGTCAATGTAGGGTTGGATATCCTCGTTCTCGGACACCCACTTTGTCCTGCACAGACCGGTTGGGCCAAAGGCGGCCGAAGTCGACGCGTAATGAACCGGCTTTAGGCGGGCCGTCGTCGCGAGCTGGAGAACGTGCAGCGTACCGAGGACGTTGGCGGGGCGGTGAACTGAGTACGGCTGGACGTAGTCGACGTGCGCGGCGAGGTGGAAGATGACGCTCGCCCAGGCGGCCAGGTCCGTAAACGAGGCGTCGTCGAGTCCCAACTTCGACTACGTCAGATTGCCGCAGACGGGCGCGATCTTGGCGAGATGATCGGCTGACATACCGGCCAGAAGCTGGTACTTGGACAAGGAGCCGAGGATGCGCTGCCTGCCGCGCTCGCGGGTGCTGGCGCGCACGAGACACCGGATCGCCTTGACCGCGGGCAGAAAGGCGCCTACGAAGCCTGTGACGCCGGTGATGAAGACCTTGCCCTCGTCACCCAAAGTCCAGTCCGAGACCGCGTGCTGTGGGATCTCGAGATCATCGGCCAGGTGAGTGTCGAAGAGCAGACAGCTTCTCAAATCGCGGCCGCCAGCGTCAGTAGAACCTCCTACATCCACATCTACATCTGGGTAAACCTTGGTGGAGGTGTTCCGTGCGAGAAGACGATCGATCTCGCGGGCAACTCCGCGGAGCGTTGCGTTTTCGTATAGCTTTTGGGCTGGAATGGAAACGCCGAAGATATGCCGTACCCGCGACAATGCGGCTGTCACCTCCAGGGAGCTGGCACCCAGCAGACCAAAATCGCTGTGCGGCCCGATGTCGTCCAAGCTGAATGCGCCGAGGCAGCCCTGCCAGATTCTGCGAAGTTCTTCCTCGGTCTTGGAGAGGCTGGTGTCGTTCGGCGCCGTCTTAGCTTCCGCTTCCCTATGGGCAAGCACCTGTGTGGCAAGCGCTTTCCTGTCGATCTTTCCGTTTGCGTTCACGGGCAAATGGTCCAGGCAGACTATCTGCGGCACCATGTAAGCAGGAAACTTAGATTTGGCGTCCTGCTGGCATCGCTCCCGGAAGTCGGGACTCTGCTGGGTTGGGACGACGCAGGCGATGATCCAGGAACTGTTGCTAGTGGTGTAGTCCAAGTGGAAGACAGCGGCGAGGGTTATGTGCTTCGACTTGCATAATTCTGACTCAATGACGTCGAGGCTAATCCGATAGCCGTGATGCTTGATCTCGTTGTTCTTCCGGCCCCGCCAGAACAGCTGGCCGCTTTCGTCTCGCTCCCCGATGTCGGCTGTCCGGTAGAAACAGGCAGGGCTTCTGTCTTCATTAGTGCCCGGGAGGTTGAGAAAGAGTTCGGACGTCTTAGATGGGTTGAGGTAGTAGCCTCGGGACAGGCTGGAACCCCTAATCAGGATCTCACCAGTCCCTTGGCCGTAGATGACATTCAGAGAATCATCGGCCAGTATCACATTTGCACCATCAATCGCTTTTCCAAGGGGAAAATCGCCCCTAAGCGCGTCTTCAGGCGTGATATCGTGTGTCATGACGAAGATGCCCGTCTCCGTGGGTCCGTAGGCGTTAACAAGCCGCGCGGGAGGGCCGTTCTCCAGGATTGTTCTCACGGCGAAAATGTTGGGGGTTTCGCCGATGGTCAACACCACGCGGCATTTGCGAAACGCGTCCGGAAAAGACGTGACAACTGTGGTGAGCAGGCTGGCTGTCAACATGATAACTGTGATTCCTTCGTCCGCGAGGAGCTGGGTGAAGTGGGGAGGGTCGAGAACCACGTCGCGCCGAATGACGATGATGGTTGCTCCAATGATCAAGGGAACCCAAATATCAAAGAGCGAGCCGTCAAAGCAAGTACTGTTAGCGTGTCCGAATCGATCCTCAGAGCTATACACGTTCTTTTGTCGGACCTGAAGCAAGGCTCTGC